TGCAGAAATTTTTTCCCATTCTGTTTGTTGCCGATTCACTCTCATGAATGTTTCTTTTGCCATGCAGAAACTGTGGAGTTTGATTAGGTCCCATTTGTCTATTTTGGCTTTTGTTGCCAATGCTTTTGGTGTTTTGGTCATGAAGTCCTTGCCTACTCCTATGTCCTGAATGGTTTTGCCTAGATTTTCTTCTAGGGTTTTTGTGGTGCCAGGTCTTATGTTTAAGTCTTTAATCCATCTGGAGTTAATTTTAGTGTACGGTGTCAGGAAGGGGTCCAGTTTCTGCTTTCTGCATATGGCTAGCCAGTTTTCCCAACACCATTTATTAAACAGGGAATCCTTTCCCCATTGCTTGTTTTTGTCAGGTTTTTCAAAGATTGTATGGTTGTAGATATGTTGTGTTGCCTCCGATGCCTCTGTTCTGTTCCATTGGGCTATATCTCTGTTTTGGTACCAGTACCATGCTGTTTTGATTACTGTAGCCTTGTAGTATAGTTTGAAGTCCAGTAGTGTGATGCCTCCCACTGTGTTCTTTTTGCTTAGAATTGACTTGGCTATGCGGGCTCTCTTCTGGTTCCATATGAAGTTCATGGTGGTTTTTTCCAGTTCTGTGAAGAAAGTCAATGGTAGCTTGATGGGGATAGCGTTGATTCTGTAAATTACTCTAGGCAGTATAGCCATTTTCATGATATTGATTCTTCCTAACCATGAACATGGAATGTTTCTCCATCTGTTTGTGTCCTCTCTTATTTCGTTGAGCAGTGGTGTGTAGTTCTCCTTGAAGAGGTCCCTTACGTTCCTTGTTAGTTGTATTCCTAGGTATTTTATTCTTTTTGTAGCAATTGTGAATGGCAGTTCGTTCTTGATTTGGCTTTCTTTAAGTCTGTTATTGGTGTATAGGAATGCTTGTGATTTTTGTACATTGATTTTATATCCTGAGACTTTGCTGAAGTTGCTTATCAGTTTCAGGAGTTTTTGGGCTGAGGCGATGGGGTCTTTCTAGGTATACTATCATGTCATCTGCAAATAGAGACAATTTGGCTTCCACCTTTCCTATTTGAATACCCTTTATTTCTTTTTCTTGCCTGATTGCTCTGGCTAGAACTTCCAGTACTATATTGAATAGGAGTGGTGAGAGAGGGTATCCTTGTCTAGTGCCAGATTTCAAAGGGAATGCTTCCAGTTTTTGCCCATTAAGTATGATATTGGCTGTTGGTTTGTCATAAATAGCTTTTATTACTTTGAGATACGTTCCATCGATACCGAGTTTATTGAGGGTTTTTAGCATAAAGGGCTGTTGAATTTTTGTCAAATGCCTTCTGTAAGTCAATTGAGATAATCATGTGCTTTTTGTTTTTGGTTCTGTTTGTGTGGTGAATTACGTTTATAGACTTGCGTATGTTGAACCAGCCTTGCATCCCCGGGATGAATCCTACTTGATCATGATGGATAAGTTTTTTGATGTGCTGTTGCAGTCAGTTTGTCAGTATTTTATTGAAGATTTTTGCATCTATGTTCATCATGGATATTGGCCTGAAGTTTTCTTTTCTTGTTGAGTCTCTGCCGGGTTTTGGTATCAGGATGATGTTGGTCTCATAAAATGATTTGGGAAGGATTCCCTGTTTTTGGATTATTTGGAATAGTACCAGCTCCTTTTTGTGTGTCTGGTAGAATTCGGCTGTGAACCCGTCTGGACCTGGGCTTTTTTTGTGTGGTAGGCTCTTAATTGCTGCCTCGACTTCTGACCTTGTTATTGGTCTATTCATAGTTTCAGCTTCCTCCTGGTTTAGGCTTGGGAGGACACAGGAGTCCAGGAATTTATCCATTTCTTCCAGGTTTACTAGTTTATGTGCATAGAGTTGTTTGTAATATTCTCTGATGATAGTTTGAATTTCTGTGGAATCTGTGGTGATTTCCCCTTTATCATTTTTTATTGCATCTATTTGGTTGTTCTCTCTTTTCTTTTTTATCAGTCTGGCTAGTGGTCTATTTTGTTGATCTTTTCAAAAAACCAGCTCTTGGATTTATTGATTTTTTGAAGGGTTTTTTGTGTCTCTATCTCCTTCAGTTCTGCTCTGATCTTAGTTATTTCTTGCCTTCTGCTAGGTTTTGAGTGTTTTTGATCTTGCTCCTCTAGCTCTTTCAATTTTGATGATACGGTGTCAGTTTGGATCTCTCCACTCTTCTCATGTGGGCACTTATTGCTATATATTTTCCTCTAGATACTGCTTTAAATGTGTCCCAGAGATTCTGGTATGTTGTGTCGTCAATCTCGTTGGTTTCAAAGAACTTCTTTATTTCTGCCTTCATTTCATTGTTTATCCAATCAACATTCAAGAGCCAGTTGTTCAGTTTCCATGAAGCTGTGCGGTTCTCAGTTCGTTTCTGAATTCTGAGTTCTAACTTGATTGCACTATGGTCTGAGAGACTGTTTGTTATGATTTCGGTTGTTTTGCGTTTGCTGAGGAGTGCTTTACTTCCAATTATGTGGTCAATTTTAGAGTAGGTGTGATGTGGCGCTGAGAAGAATGTATATTCTGTGGATTTGGGGTGGAGAGTTCTGTAAATGTCTATCAGGTTTGCTTGTTCCAGATCTGAGTTCAAGCCCTGGAAATCCTTGTTAATTTTCTGTCTGGTTGATCTGTCTAATATTGACAGTGGAGTGTTAAAGTGTTCCACTATTATTGTGTGGGAGTCTAAGTCTCTTTGTAAGTCATTAAGAAGTTGCCTTATATATCTGGGTGCTCCTGTATTGGTTCCATATATATTTAGGATCGTTAGCTCTTCTTGTTGTATTGATCCTTTTACCATTATGTAATGACCTTCTTTGTCTCTTTTGATCTTTATTGCTTTAAAGTCTATTTTATCAGAGACGAGAATTGCAACTCCTGCTTTTTTTTTGCTCTTTATTTGCTTGGTAAATCTTCCTCCATCCCTTTATTTTGAGCCTTTGTGTATCCTTGCATGTGAGATTGGTTTCCTGGATACAGCACACCAATGGGTTTTGGTTTTTTATCCAATTTACCAGTCTGTATCTTTTGATTGGTGCATTTAGCCCATTTACATTTAGGGTTAATATTGTTATGTGTGAATTTGATACTGCCATTTTGATGCTGGCTGGCTGTTTTGCCCTTTAGTTGATGCAGATTCTTCATTTTGTTGATGCTCTTTATCATTTGGTATGGTTTTGGAATGGCTGGTACTGGTTGTTCCTTTCTATGTGTAGTGCCTCTTTCAGGAGCTCTTGTAAAGCAGGCCTGGTGGTGACAAAATCTCTTGAGTGCTTGCTTGTTTGCAAAAGATTTTATTTTTCCTTCACTTATGAAGCTTAGTTTGGCTGGATATGAAATTCTGGGTTGAAAGTTCTTTTCTTTAAGAATGTTGAATATTGGCCCCCACTCTCTTCTGGCTTGTAGAGTTTCTGCCGAGAGATCTGCTGTGAGTCTGATGGGCTTCCCTTTGTGGGTGACCCGACCTCTCTCTCTGGCTGCCCTTAGTATTTTCTCCTTCATTTGAACCCTGGTGAATCTGACAATTATGTGCCTTGGGGTTGCTCTTCTTGCGGAATATCTTTGTATGTTCTCTGTATCTACTGGACTTGAATATTGGCCTACCTTGCTAGGTTGGGGAAATTTTCCTGGATAATATCCTGAAGAGTATTTTCCAGCTTGGATTCATTCTCTTCGTCACATTCTGAAACACCTATCAAACATAGGTTAGGTCTCTTCCATAGTCCTACATTTTTGGAGACTTTGTTCATTCCTTATTGTGCTTTTTTCCCTAATCTTGGTTTCTCATTTTATTTCATTGAGTTGATCTTCGACTTCAGATATTCTTTCTTCTGCTTGGTCAATTCGGCTGTTGAAACTTGTGCATGCTTTGCAAAGTTCTCGTGTTGTGTTTTTCAGCTCCTTCAATTAATTCATATTCCTCTCTAAGTTGTCCATTCTTGTTATCATTTCCTCGCATCTTTTATCAAGGTTCTTAGTTTCTTTGCATTGATTTAGAACATGTTCTTTTAGCTCACGGAAGTTTCTCATTATCCACCTTCTGAAGTCTGATTCCGTCACTCATTCTCCGTCCAGCTTTGTTCCCTTGCTGGTGAGGAGTTTTGGTCCTTTCTAGGAGGTGAGGTGTTTTGGTTTTGGGTATTTTTGTCCTTTTTGCGCTGGTTTCTTCCCATCTTTGTGGATTTATCTACCTGTCGTCTGAGTAGTTGCTGACTTTTCAATTGGGTCTCTGAGTGGATGCTCAGATTGTTGACGATGAAGTATTTCTGTTACTTAGTTTTCCTTCTAACAGTCTAGCCCCTCTGCTGTACGACTGCTGAGGTCCACTCCAGGCCCTGCTTATCAAGCAGCTTTGTTATACAATAGAATATGTATGCCATAAATGTTATTTATTTATTTATTTATTTATTTATTTATTTATTTATCTTTCAGAGGTGGAGTCTCTGTTGCTCAGGCTGGAGCACAAGAGCACAATCACGCAATCTCAGCTCACTGCAACCTCTGCCTCCCGGGTTCAAGTGATTCTCCTGCCTCAGCCTCTGGAGTAGCTGGGCTTACAGGCACCCACCACAATGCCTGGCTGTTTTTTGTATTTTTAGTAGAGACAGGCCTTCACCATATCGGCCAGTCTAGTCTCGAACTCCTGACCTCAGGTGACCACCCGCCTCAGCCTCCCAAAGTGGTGGGATTACAGGTGTGAACCACCACGCCCAGCCCCATAAATCTTGCAAAGTATAAATTACCTAAATCCTGACAGAGGTAAACAAAAATTTGTCTCTGACAGGTGTCAGTCAGTAATGTTGGTTTTGGTGCAGTTGCAACCTCTTTATTTTTTTTCTTAAACTGAGATCGTATTTTGTACACTTGACTTATTATTTTTTGTTTTATAATAGTGCATAATTTATATGGGAGTATCAGTTGATGTTCTTTCCTGGAAAAAGCTGTATATTTTAAATTAATGATTCCAATCTGTTTGTCTTTTTAACCTAGAAGAAGAATCTATTGTTGGCATTTGAAGCAGCTGAAAGTGTAGGCATCAAACCCAGCCTGGTAGGTATCCTATTTTGTATTCTTGTGATACTTTATTTTAATTGTATGAGAAATAGCTTTATGGCAGCTAATAAACAATTTCTTGTAGAACATTGACATCTGTTTGCTGAAAGCTCTTGCCCTCAATACCTAATATAGAATTATCCAGTTGATCTAATCACATATGATTTAGAAATTTTCAACTCTAAGAGGTTTTCAGTCACATACGATTTCATATGGACAAATTTCAGTTCTGGAAACACACAATAATAATTCAGTGGACTGAATTATTATTAGAGCCCTCTTGTTCAGAGCACCTAGAAATCTGAATAAAATGCTATTTTAAAAAAATCAACATATAGCTGACCTCTCAAGGAAGAATGGGAAATACCCAGATGCCAGAAATGTAAAATGAAGCAGAAACCAGGCATAGGCTGAGCCTGCAAAAGCCGGCAGGGGTGGGCAGGGGGCAGGGGGCCAGGCAAGCACCAAGACCCATGCCTGTATAAAGCCAAGGCTTACAACATGCTGCTCTTCTTAGTGAAAGCAGAAATCTTTAAAACTCCACCAGCCAGTCCAGGGAGGTGATAAGGAAGCTGGTCTCCACGTGTGTGTGTGTGTGTGTGTGTGTATACGCATGTGCACATGCGCTCAGAGAGAGGAAAAGGAGAGAGAAAAAAGAAAAAGTCTTTTGCAAGGAAAGGAAAAGGGCCAGGTGAGATTTAGAGCCCAAATTTATAAAATCTGTGCTGCATGAAGCCCTTAGTTTATACTCTCGGATGCAGGAAGCCCCTGGGCTGATACTACAGTGGCTGCTAAAAAGTGACAAAACACTTGAGAAAAATGATCTACCTGAGCTAGTCAGCAGATACAGCAAACAAAAAGATTATGTGTCAGAACTTGAGATGATAAATAAGAGGCAACAAAAAGACTATTTAAACATATTAAAGAGATAAAAGGAGCAATATAAATCACAAAGAAAGAATGATTCCATTTTTAAAATATTTTTTTAAAGAATCAAATAACACTTCTAGAAATGAAAATTTAGAATTAAGACCACAATATGTGTTGCCAAACTGAATAGATACAGCAGAAGAGAGAACTACTAAATTGGAAAATAAATATAGGGAAATTATCCAAAATATAAAAGAGACATTAAAAACTATAAAATATAATGGTAAAGTTGAATTAATATGTGTTCAACCTCAGTAAAGGGAAAACCCAACTGGCAGTTGCTTAAACCATAAAATGTTAATTTTCTTTTTTAGCAACAGTAGTTTTAGGTTTGGTTCACCACTCAGTATTACATTCAAAGTCCCAGAGTGTCTCCTCTTCATGATCACCATCTTTAATCTGTTTCTTTTGTCTCCATACTTGTTCCTTTGTGGTTGAAGGTGGCTCCCAAACTTCAGACATCACTTTCATCTACAGGGTAGGAAGAAGGGAGAAGAGATAGAGCAAGTGTCTCCTGTCTTTTCCCTTTAAAGAATGAAAATAAAAGCCTCCTTGGGTTTCTCCAGCTCCTTGGCGGTACTCTGTTACATGGTCTCCAGCTGCAAGGGCATTTGAGGAAGTGAGCACATAACATTTTTCAGTTTCTTTAGTGGGAAGCCTGCAAGGGAGAGAGAGCTTGGGAATTACTCTTGGGCTATCTAACTAATAGGGTCTGTCTCAGAGTTTAAGAAACATGGCTGAAAAAATGAGACGATGGCCATGTCCCATGCCCAAAGGGAATTCCTGATATGAAAAGGATGGAAAGAATGGAATGGAGATAATTTTGAAGATACGATGTCTGAAAATTTTCCTGAATGATGAAAGGACAATGGAAGAGTCCACAGATTCTTTATTTATCTCAAGCAGGATAAATAAAACAAAAATATCCATCCAGATGTATTGTAATGAGACTACAGAAAAGTCAAAGATAAGACAGTTAATCCATTAAAAATTTCTGCTACTCAGTAATAAAAATACAACCTAGTAGGAAATTATCAAAGGCTGGAATAGACAGTTCAGAAAAGAAGATCAGGAATGGTCAATGAGCAGTTTTAAAGATGTTCAATCTCATTAGGGATCGAGAAAATCTAAGCTTAAATAAAAATGAGATACAATTCTGGCCTGGCATGGTGGCTCACGCCTGTAATCCTGGCACTTTGGGAGGCCGAGGTGGGTGGATCACCTGAGGTCAGGATTTGAGACTGGCCAACATTACAAAACCCTGTCTCTACTAAAAATACAAAAAATTAGCCGGGTGTGATGGTGGGCACCTGTAATCCCAGCTGTATATTCAATTTGACCATGATACCCAAGATAGAATATGTCAGAGCCAAGATTTGAACTCACCTCTGTGACTTCGAAGCCTATGCACTGGCCTCCACACAACATGGCCTTATTATTACAATTGAGGAGTGGCCTTGGGAAATAACTGCTCCCTTTTTAAAAAAAAAAAATTTTTTTGAGATGGAATCTCTCTGTGTCACCCAGGCTGAAGTGCAGTGGTGTGATCTTGGCTCACTGCAACCTCCACCTCTCAGGTTCAAGCCATTCTCCTGCCTCAGCCTCTCTAGTAGCTGGGATTATAGGCCCTTTATCCAGACTACTGTTGATGGGCATCTATGTTGATTTCATGTCTTTGCTATTGTGACTAGCACTGTGATGAACATAAGTGCATGTGTCTTTTTGGTAGAACGATTTCTTTTTTTTTTTTGTATATATAGCCAGTAATGGGATTGCTGGATCAAATAGTAGTTCTGTTTTAAGTTCTTTGAGAAATCTCCAAATTGCTTTCCACAGTAGCTGAACTAACTTACATTTCCACCAGCAGTGTATAAGCATTCCCTTTCCTCCACAGCCTTGTCAGCATCTGTTACTTTTTGATTTTTTATCAGGAGCCATTCTGACTGGTGTGAAATGTTGGGATCTTTAAAAGTGAAGTTCTGTAGTATTTCCCAGATACTAGAAATTGTTCTTCCTCAGCCACCGTGTAAGGAGAGCATCTTAGCCAGTCCAATTGCAGGTGCAAGCAACTCCTCGGGAAAGGAATTTCATTTGGGAGGATATGTGACATCACTGTCATTAAACAGCCAGAATATGTGCCCCAGGGCTGCTGTGTCATTACCAGGCCATGTAGTCCGTGAGGGCTGTTGCTCACTGAGTGCCAGCATGCCCACCAGGACAGCTGCTGCAGGGCTGGGTGCTGCATGCTTCCATGGAGGAGGTCACCACACAGCAATTCTTAAGGTGTGGCTGGGCCTACTCTGCAAGTATAAACTTGATGAGCTGTGCTTAAATAGCTAATTTCTACTTGATTGTATGAAAAGCAATGTTTTTTGTATTTACTGTGTGTATTGACTATTTACCATTCTGGGCATTTTTCTTGCGTGGACTTGTTGGACCCTTACAGAGGTCCTTAAGATGGATGCCCTCTACAGGGGGAAACTGAGGCATGTGGCTTATGAGCAGGAAAGGTAAGAGGCAAGGTCAGGCAAGCGGCTCCAGAGCCCATACTCTCAACCACCTGACAGCTATGTTCACCTTCTGCACATATTTTGTTAGATTTAGACCTTAGTTGTTTTTTTCTTTTTTTTGGTGCTATTGAAAATAACATTGTTTTTTCTTATTACAGAATCCAGTTGTTCAATCGTATATAGGGCAGCAATTAACTTTTGTATACTGACTTTGTATCTGACTTTGCTAAACCTACATGGAAATGCTTTGGGATTTTCTAAACAATTATGTCATCTGCAAATAAAGACAGTTTTATGTCTTCCTTTGCAATCTGCATGCCATTTATTTTTCATGCCTTTTTGCACTAGCTAGAACTTCCAGTACAATTTTTTTGGTTTGTTTTTGTTTTTGTTTTTTGAGCAGAGTCTTGTCTGTCACCCAGGCTGGAGTAAAATGGCATGATCTTGGCTCACTGCAACCTCCACCTCCTGGGTTCAAGTGATTCTCCTGCCTCAGCCTACTTAGATTACACCTGTAATCCTAGTAACTGGGATTACAGGTGCCCACCACCACGCCCAGCTAATTTTTTTTTTTTTTACTAGCGATGGGGTTTTGCCATGTTGACCAGGCTGGTCTTGAACTCCTGACCTCAGGTGATCCCCTTGCCTTGGCCTCCCAAAGTGCTGGAATTACTTATAGTCCAGTACAGTTTTAAACAGGACAGATGAGAAAGGGTATCCTTGCCTTGTTCCTGATTTTATGAGGGAGTGTTCAAGTCTTTCACCATTAAGTATGATATGAGCTGTTGGTTTTTTGTACATATTTTTTATTAAGTAAAAGGGGTTCCCTTCTATTCCTAGTTGTTGAAGGTCACCACATATAAAAACTGTCTTGGTTGTGGAATTTTGTGTAATGCTTTTTCTTCATCTGGTGATTTCATCATGTGTTTTTTCTCATTCAGTTATTTAAGGTGATGAATTACATCAGTTTACAAATGTTGAACCAGCCTTGTGTTCCTGGGATAAACCTCACTTGATCATGATTTATTATACTTTTATAGATTAATGGATTCAGTTTAGCGTGTACTCATGAGAAACTGGCATGTAGATTTCCTGTAATGTTTGTGTCTAGTTTTGGTATCTGGATAATGTTGGTATCACAGAATGAGTAGGGAAGTGTTCTTCCCTCTTCCCTGTTTTGAATAGATTGTGTAGAATTGGTATTATTTCTTCCTTAAGTATTTGATAGAATTCACAAGTGAAATCATCTTGGTCTGGTATCTTTTGGAGAGTCTTAACTACTAATTCAAACAAAGGCCGTGCACTATAAGATTGTAACTAATGCAGCAAACTCTGTCTTCTGAAATGTACAAAATATACTTTCACAAATTTCTCAAATGTGACGTTAACAATGTGCTAAATATTTTTAGTTCTATTATTATTAAGTTCAAGCATGTAAGATTGTCTGCTCACAACTGAATATTGATTAAACTTCTGAGTCGTCCCTGAGATTAAAGACACACCCTTTCCATCATACAGAGGAAAGTGAACAGTGTGCTCTCTCTCTTGCATTCGTAGCCATCCCTTCTTTTCCCAGAGCTCATCTGTCTCCCAAATTGCATGCTAAATTCTTCATCACTTTGTTTCTGTAAGTCATGTTAGCAACCCTCCTTGGTAAGGATTTTAGCTTGCCAGGCCTCAGTCTGTGTGCAGTCATGACTACAGCAGTATAGGTAGAAGGAGACATTCTATCCTTGTGTGAAAGTGTGTTGTTTTTTTTTTAGTTGTCCTGCATGGAATGTTCTACCAACTCCTCTTCCACTCCTTTCCATAACTAGTGATATGCTGATAATTTTTTAGCATCACCAGGGAGCAGAATAGGTGAAGTCTGTTCAGATGTTGAATCAAGGGACAGATGTGCTAAGTTCAGCCTTACTTTTCCATGGCATCTCTGCTTCTGGCTTTACATCAGGGTCCTTTCCTACTATTCTCTGGTAATCGCACAGGAATCCAAATTCAACCCCAAAGTTAATTACTAAATATGTCCAGTGGCACAAATTTCAGAAAAGTTTGACTAAGTGCCTGACAGGATGCCTACCCTCTTGTCCTTCCCTTTCTGGCCTGGACTTAACTTAAGGCATGTTCATCACAAGCTTACTTGCAAAATGAACAAAAATAAATCAGTCTGTCAAAACCAGCAAATTAGCAAAAGTAAAAATAAAAAGAAGCAAAAAAATCACAAACTATATTAAATAACAATAAAAAAGTTAAATGGTAACACATAATGCTGGTAAAACAATTACATTTGAAATTGCTTCAAGACTTTTGTGATAATCCCACCCTCAGGAATTTATCTTGAGGAACTAGTTTGACAGAAGGAAACAATCTTGCACAAAGATGCTTATCGCAAAGTCTGTGGTGGTGATGAGGTGAGCATACACTGCTCCATGTCCCTTGTAGACAGCAGTTTCCCTAGATAGTGCACATCCACTAGAATGGCAGCCCGCAGAATGGCATAGCAGCACAGGGCCCCAGGTGTGAAATGATCAGTCCACATAATAGCACGTGCACTGTGCTGAGAGCCTGGGGAATTAGAAGTGCAGATTCAAATGCAATTTAGAAACTTGGAAATCATTTTAACAGTCAAATTATGGGTGACTTGCTTTTTAAAACTTGTTAAATGCCGTCCTATGGTTAAAAGATGAAAATGGTGGGAAATCGTGTTTTCCATTTTTTGGAAAGGAATAGTATCTCCTGAATAAGTGGGAGGAAAGGGCCTTTAATTTATTACTTTCAGCACCACCTGTGCTGGCCTTCACATTCTATGTAAGTGGAGGGTTTCCAGGCAGTGTAAGCCCTAACCTGGATTGAAGTCCCAGAGGGGAAGGGGTCTGTGATGTCCTGCCTGTCCTCCATTTCCTTCCGCTGCAGGAACTCAGCGAGATGCTGTACACGGACCGGCCCGACTGGCAGAGCGTGATGCAGTATGTGGCCCAAATCTACAAGTACTTTGAGACGTAACCCTGGAGGGCCCGGAGTAGCCACCACTGCCACCTACTGCAGTGCCTGATCACTGTCCACTGACCCTACTCTGCCCACCACCCAGCTGCCTAGACTTAAAAGACAGGCTTAATCCAAGTGGACCCACACCCAAATAAGAAACAGAGTGGGTCCCACGGTGTACCTGTCTCAAATGCAAACCCCAGCTGGACGGTAAATTGGGGACACTTTGTTCTCCCTCAGGATGCTTCTAAAGAAGGCAGCCTGCCTCCTTCCAGACCAAGACCCCACACCCAGGATTGTTTTGCTGATTACACTGGGTGACTGAACACATCATCTGCAGAAATTCAGACAAACAGCGTCTCCAAATCAGTCTTTTGGTTGTTTTCGTTGTTAAAAGTATCCTGGCTTTGCCTTTATGAAACCTTTGCCCTTGGCTGGGTGTGGTAGCTCGTGGCTGTAATCCCAGCACTTTAGGAAGCCAAGGCAGTAGGATAATTTGAGCCCAGGAATTCAAGGCTGCAGTGAGCTATGAGCGCACCACTGCACTCCAACCTGTGTGAAAGAGCCAGACCCTGTTTCAAAAAAAACAATAAACGAAAAGCAAAACTTTGCCCCTATAAACCTTCCTCCTTTCTCCCCTCCAAAATAAAAACCAACAGAACACAAAAAAATAAACATTTATTCCAGGGCAACCTGGAAGCATGTGCTCACTCAGCCTTTTGGGGAAAGGTGGGAGTTCTAGGTAACAATGTTAACACCTAGAATTTTATTGATTTTTAGTTCTCACAGTTCCTTATTTGGTTCATTGTAGCAAAAGGAAAGCCTGTGCAAATGCAAGAGAGCCCCGGGCTGCTTTGCTAGAGGGTCCCTGGGAGGTGCCCCACACCTCTGCCCACCACAGTCTGTGTGGTCCCAAGCGGCTGGCAGCTTTCACACTAGGGAAAATGCAGTCCTCATTGCCCCCAACTTTGTCCTCCCATTCATTCATACCCACACAGGATTGTCCCCCACAGAACTTGACAGGAGGTCACGTGTGTGGGAATGGCCTGTGTCTGCTTTGCAGGGTTGAGCTGGCTGAGGGCATGTGCTTCTGGTGATGCTGGGCTGACAGCAAATTTCAACAGCATTTCAGCTCTGGACTGACTTGGCCTTCAGTGCTTCCCCAGGCCTCTTATGTTGGCATGGGAAAAAGAAGCCTTTGGGGGTGGGTGGTGAGGGCCCACTTATAATCAACAAAGAAGAATGCAGTTGCTCCTGACACCCTATTGTTCTCCTCAAGTGGCAGCAGAGCCCTCCCCGGAGTCACCCCAGCCCCTCAGAAGAGCTCAGTCTGGCCTGGGTGCCCATCTGGTGGCTCTGCGGTGTTCTGGGCAGATCTATGTGCACTACACAGCGAGTAAGGGTGTGGCTCATACAGGTGGTTGAGGGAAATGGGTAATGCCCATCCCTTGCTGTTTTAAGTGCCAAATAGCCTGTTAGTGCCCCTCCAACAAATGATCATACTTCTAGTGAGTCACTGCAAATGACAGTGACTACCATTACTACTCAAAGTACATCTCTGATTGCTGATCTGAGCCACTGGTTCAGAGCCAAGTTCTAGAGGCTGCAGGTCCAGCCCCTTATCATTCCTGGAGAAGCAGGAACTCAGCCCCCCCGCCCCCGCCCCAAGCCAGACCTTTGCAGAGGTGGCCGCTGGGCTGCACGGGTCAGGGGATCCCTGATTCTCAAGCCACCTTGAGACGAGAGACTCCGCCCCAGCCCTGTTAGTGCATCCCAGCTGTGGCTCTGCATCAGAACCTGCAGGGCACCATTTGAAAACTCCTGGCTGCCCCAGTTGGTTGTCTCAGAACTATGAAATGGGACCAGAGATGCAGTCTACGTGTTTTGAAGGTTCTTTAGGTGACTGAAGCATAGCTGCGTGAAGTACTGAGGGGCAGACACCTTTCCCTGGCAGCCCCAAGGCAGGCAGCCTGTGGGAGCTCCTGAGCAGCTTTTTGGCGATGGTCATTACATCACCCATGCCTTTGTATTTAAATGAAACTTGAGATACAGTCAGAACCAATTCAACCTGTAAGTTATTACTTCGGCTGCTTCAGGCACTTGTCTGAAGCATTTTTTATTAACCTGCATTTCTACTTTGCCCACCAGTAAAGTAGGGGAAGTAATATCCAAAGTAGTTGAGTTTAGCTGGAATTACTCCAGGGTTTTGTGTGGGGAGGCAGTTGCTGCCTTGGGATACCCAGAGTGGGGTAGGTGTTTTCTGTGATTGGCCTGGTTTTTTATTTTTATTTTTTTATTTTGAGACAGAGTTTCATTCTTATTGCCTAGGTTGGAGTGCAGTGGTGCAGTCTCAGCTCACTGCAACCTCTGCCTCCCAGGTTTAAGCAGTTCTCCTGCTTCAGCCTCCCAAGTATCTGGGTTTACAGGTGTCACTACTACACCTGGCTACTTTTTTTTGTATTTTTAGTAACGGGGGTTTCACCATGTTAGCAAGGCTGGTCTTGAACTCCTGACTGCAAGTGATCCACCCGCCTCATCATCCCAAAATGCTGGGATTACAGGCGTGGGCCCCTGTGCCTGGCTGTTTTTTGTTTGCTTTTTGAGACAGAGTCTTGCTCTGTTGCCCAGGTTGGAGTGCCAGTGGTGCTATTTCAGCTCACTCAGGTATGAGTCACCGCACCTGGCCTGTGATTGGCTCTGTTTTGAGTGATTACATGTAAACCATCTAGAACCAACTTTGAGCAATGGTGTTGTGGTTTCCCTCCCTTCACACTGAGGCCATACCAGCCCCTCTCCAATGGGATCCCAAGTTGCCAATCACAGTGGCCAAACTTCCCATTTTTGTCTGTATCCTGCTCTTTAGATTAAAAAGAAGGAAAGAAACGTGAAAGGCCATGTGCAATTTATTTTTATAACTTAAGGAGATTCCCCAACTACCATTTTCTCTGCCAGTGAATGTGCATGTAGAAGAGGAATGCCATGTTCTGTCCACAGAAATACACATGGGGCTCATGCCCGTAATCTCAGCACTTTGGAAGGCTGAGGTGGGAGGACTGCTTGAGCCCAGGATTTTGAGACCAGCCTAGGCAACATGACGAGACTCTGACTCTATAAAAAAAAATTTTTTTTTTTTTTTAGAAAGCATCTCACTCTGTTGCCCAGGCCGTAGTGCAGTGGCGTGATCGCGGCTCACTGCAAACTCCGCCTCCCAAGTTCAAGCAATTCTCCTGCCTCAGCCTCCTGTGTAGCTGAAATTACAGGCACATGCCGCCAAGACTAGCAAATTTTTTTATTTTTAGTAGAAACAGGGTTTCACCAAGTTGGCCAGGCTGGTCTTGAACTCCTGACCTCAAGTGATTTGCCTGCCTAAGCCTCCCAGAGTGCTAGGACTACAGGTACCGTGCCTGGCCCAAAATTTTTTTTATATTAGCTGAGTACAGTGATACACATCTGTAGTCTCAGCTGCTTGGGAGGCTGAGGCAGGAGCATCACAGCCCAGGAGTTGGAGGCTGCAGTAAGCTGTGTTGTGCCACTGTACTCTGGCCTGGGTAAAAAAGCGAGACCCTGTCACACACACAAAAGAAATACACATGGTGTTTAGGGGAAGGGCAGATTCTGCTGGGCTTCTGGAGCTGTGACTGATGGCCTCAGGGCTGTAGGAATAGGCCTTCTAGCACAGCAGCAAGTAGGCTCCCCTAAGCCATCGGCTGGCATGGAGGTGCAGGACCTGGGGGAGGCAGTCCCACCACAACTAGGCCAAGGGGTAGGGTTTTTAGGTGTTTTTAACAGAGCTTAGAGCACCAGGTGAAGGTGGAAAGTTGATAAACTGGGAAAACAAGGTGAGCTCTTACCTTTTCTTTAGCAGTGTATGCCATTCCCAGTTTCTATCCTGAGACTTTCAGAGGCTACAAAAACCACATTTCTTTCCATCTTCCCTCAGCCAGTACATAGTCATTTAAAATTCTTTGGTTGTTCTGCAGATTCTTTTTTTAATGTGTAAATTTTACATGAAAAGACATCTGCAACATGCAAGCCCCAATAGAGTGGGGGAGTTTTTCGAGGTGAGAAGTTGCTGTTCTCTGCGTCGAACATGGATTGAATTTTTCCTGTCTGAGTGTAGCCCATGGCCCCCGCCTTGTGGGGGTAACATTCTCAGGAACTTCTTATCCTAGTCCCTTCTCATTTCAAAAACAATATAAGTCTTTTGTTTCCCTTTTTCATTCAGTTGTTGTTTTACAACTTTTGTAGAGACTAACGCAAGTAGATGCTGGTGGGTGTTAGACAAAAACACACATCCCCAGGGGCAAGCCATCCAGTGGTGAGGAATCTCTCCCATGTTCTTTTACCTGCTGCCCACAGAGACTCCCTTAGTCTCCCCCTCCTCTTCCCCACTGAGGGGCGGCTTGTGGAGATGGAGGACTCACGCCCCTACATGCAGAACCCCTGCCAAGTTCAGCAATAATTATCACCCTTCCAAAGCTCGAGTGACATTTTGAGATGACCTACCAGACATGCAGTGAAGGATATAACCTCACAGCCATTTTAGAAGCATTTCGAATAGCTACCAATGCCACTGGGCGTTTCACTCCTCTAACCCAAGTTAGAGTTTTGCTAAATCTGTAGCATCCTGAGTAGCATACAAATTTTAACTACATTAGTTGAATGCAGTTGATACATCTGTGGCCTCGTGTCTATTAAAGAGCACACTAGATTGTACCCAGCACTGTTAGGATATGACATGCTTATTAGATGTCTTTATTCACAGGAGAGTGTATGATAAACGACTATTTCTAATAAATATATTTTGTTTCTGTCCGATGATTTTTTTCCCTTGGTGACATTTATCATTAATATTTTCTCAAAGTGCCATGCTTACACTGAGTCTGTTTTCAAACCAGCATCTTCATCCATGTATTCCTTGTTGGGTCACAGTCTTCACTGCAGCTGCTCTTGCGGGTTGTGCTGGAATTTTCCGCAGAGGACTGGGCTCCTGGCTCCTCCGCTTCCCGTTTCCAGCTTTATTGCTGAGGCCACAGGCTCATGAAGATTGCCTTTCAAGGCTTACCCAGGATGCTGCTGAGCTGTGCAGATGTGCACACAATATGTGCAATGTCATGTGTGACTAAATGCCAACTGAGACCCTGGAAACCACTCATAGGGGGAATCATGCCAAGATTGAGGAGGCAAAGTGAAGATAGTTTTTAAATGATTGCTTCCTTACCCCTCCCTAGTTCATGTTTTCTTATACATAATTACATTTCTTCCTTGCTATACTACAAATACCTAATTTTAGTTGGTCAGAGATGGATTTGAGACTGAGCTCCCAACTCCACGGCTGCAACACCTGATTAAAGCCTTCTTCTTTGGCAATACTCATTTCTGTGATTGGCTTTCTGTGGGTGAGCAATGCAGGACCTAGGCTAATGCCCCGAGGCTTCAGTGACAAAATCTGTTTTTCATAATGCTTTATCTTCACTGTCCTCAAGAATTAGTATTTGAGTACTTTCTAGAGTCTCCTTTGCCACTTTTCTTTCAGAGGGAGTCTTGCTCTGTTGCCGGGGCTGAAGTGCAGTGGTGCAATCTTGGCTCACTTCGACCCCCTACTGGGTTGAAGTGATTCTCCTGTCTCAGCCTCCCAAGTAGCTAGGATTACAGGTGCGCCATGCCCAACTATTTCCATTTTTAGTAGAGACGGGGTTTCACCTTGTTGGGCAGGCTGGCCTCGAACTCCTAACCTCAAGTGATCCCCTCGCCTTGGCCTCCCAAAGTGCTGGGATTACAGGCGTGAGCCACTGCGCCCGACCGACACTAGTGCTCGCGGGCTGCAGGGACAGGACGGACTAGAGGCCAGTGACCCCAGCAGCACCTGGCATTCCCCGACCCAATCGGGTTGCCAGCCGCACAGCCTCTGGGCAGATGCGCGCGGCGGCTGCGGCTCAGAGCGGGGAGCCGCTGCTCGGCCCCATCCCCAGGCAGCGGAATGCCCAGAACTGGTCCCCTTGCTTCGGCACCGGCCAAGTAGGAGCTGGGCGGGCAGTGGCGTCGGGCAGGCTCTTCCTGCCGGGCGGGCAGCTCGCTTTGACCCAGCCGCCTGACTCGGCTTGTGTCCTGGCAACTCCGCTGCGGTGGCGGCACAGGGGCGGGAACTGGTCCTCACGCCTGAACTGAGGAAGCCGAGGAGCAGGTGCGCCGCGGCGCTGTGAGGCGGCACTCCCCGATGACAGGTAGGCTGGACGCCGCCACCCGGAAGGACCCGCCAGCCCAGGCCGGCGCCGGAGCTGCAGCGCCACCTATGGCCAAGGAGTTTTCTCTGGGAGGCGGGGGCCTGTGTGCACAGGTGCAGTGATGTCACGGGAGCCTCAGCAAGTGCGGTGACGTCACACGCGAGGGCTTGGCCGTTACCTGCGTGCCTTGCCGTTACCCGTGAGGCTTGGCGGTGGTCGCTTGGCTTGACATTTCTTACTTGGCTCGGAGGTGCTCCTTTCACTGATTGGAAACAGCGAGCTTTCCTCCTGGGAGGTTGTGGCCAAGGCAGTAACTCGCTACTTTTGGCCTCCCGGGGTGGAGAAAAGCGGGGAGGGGTGTGGAGGGGCTGAGGGGTCTCGGAAGGCGGCAGTCTCCGCCATGAGGAGGACATTTAGAGGCGGGCGCCCGGAGGACCAATGGCCCTGGGCTCCCTCGCCAGCTGGCGGCCCGACAGGTCGCTCAGCAGAAGGAAGCGTGAAGCGGAAGTCTTCGCCCCGCCTCAGTACCGCGTCGACCCGAAAGATCTCGACGAGCCCCACAGAGCTGCCTGGCTGGGCGAAGTCCCCGGGCTGGAGTGCATCCTGGTGCCCGGAGGCCCTGGCGTGGACAAGAGGGACAATGAGAATAGGTAATGGCCAGGCCAAGGAGGCGGGCGCACCGTCTTGTCGGGGGCCCGGGCTTTCTGGTGCCCACAGGCTCCATGGCACCCCGGATGGGGAAACCTTGGAAGGGTCGGGGTCCCAGGCCTCTCCGTGAGCCAGGAGCAAATAAAAATGGTTATTACTATTGCAAAAGTGTTGCAGGCCGGGTGCGGTGGCTCACGCCTATAATCCCAGCACTTTGTGGGGAGGAGGAGGCGGGCGGATCACGGGGTCAAGAGATCGAGACCATCTGGTCAACATGGGGAAACCCCGTCTCTACTAAAAATACAAAAAATTAGCTGGGCATTGTGGAGCATGCCTGTAATCCCAGCCACTCAGGAGGCTGAGGTAGAATTGCCTGCACCCAGGAGGCGGAGGTTGCAATGAGCTGAGATCGGGCCATTGCACTTCAGCCTGGGTAACAAGACCGAAACTCCGTCTCAAAAAAAAAAAAAAGTGTTGCTCTACTTTACAGGAGTTTTCTTTAAAAATATTGCACTTCTCAACTATGTTTGTCCATTTAATCAATGTATTCGTCAAACACAAGCTGAATAGCTATTATATATATTATATTGCTCAGGTTTCTTCCATACTTAAAAACTTCATGTTTAGCTGCCCAGCCTGAGTAAGCCTGAGAGATTTAAAATTGAAGTATTAGGACTTGATCTCAGTGGAAGCTTTTTCTCCCCCCTTTCAAAGAAAAGCATTTCTCAAGGTAGAAAATAGTAAAAGGTAAGCTTAAACTGCCCTTCTGAAAATATATAACAGTCTTATGTACTAATATTAATCATTGGGAATGCCTGATTTACATGCATTATATAAATCTAAATGTTGAATAAAATGAGCCATACCTGTTCATCTGAACCTGAGTTTCTTCCTTTGGCTTAAAGTTTTTTTTGAAAATCAAAGTAAGAATTATTTTGTTTTAAAAATTTGTTATGCTTTTTATCTCAGCCCTCTTTTTTCCATAGTACTTTTAAAGAACTAAAATGTACTTAAACACCAATCATATGATTAGAACTGCCCAGCTGCTCTGGACCTGTTGTATACACCATATTCTACTTCACGTAAGGCACCGTGGATTGTCTGATGCCCATTATTTTATGTGTCAATAAGAATTATTTAGATGCTGCCAATTATAGTTGTGATAAATTATGAATTGCAAGGAGAATCCCAATGGCAGAGTTGTTAAAATGTGAGAAAAGGAACATCTTAGAATGATAATACAGTGTTACTTCTAATCTTTAAACATACCTCAGAAGTGTGTATAATCGTATTATTTTACTTGTTTATGTTAACTAGTAGTATTATAAAAATTATAATATCTAACAGTTACTGGGCGGTTATTTGTGCTAGGAACTGTTCTAAATGCTTTGCACAGATTCTCATTTAAGCATCATAGTGATGCCCAGTACATCACTATGGACTGCTGATACTTTAATTCCCATTTTATTGATTAGGAAACTGAGGCCCAAAAAGGCCAACAGGAAGTGACAGATCTTAAAGTAGGATTTCACCTCAAGGTGAACTGAATCCAGAGGTGAAGCATTTTCTATTCAAATAAACTACATTTCATTAATGTAGTGAATAATAAGAGCTGGTAAATACTGTGCTTTCTTCTCAGGAAAATTAAATACTTGTTTTAAAGACAGAGGACTAAAATTATATCCAGTGCTATGGATATATGTGAATCATTGTGTGTTTTCAGATAGTACAGTACAATTTCCTAAAAAGTGTTCTTACTGTCTTAGGACGGCTCTGCATTTCGCATGTGCCTGTGGACATCCAGCAGTGGTAGCTCTCCTGGTGGACAGAAAATGTCAACTTAGTTATTTTGACAGCGATAAGAAGACAGCTCTGATAAAGGTATATAGTAACCAAGTATTTCAGCATGAGATGGATCTGAATGGGTAGAATTACTGAGAACCAGCTCAGTGGTAGAGACTCCCACCCAGGCAGCACTGAAAGAAATGAGAGGCAGACACCCAGATAGAACAGCAAAGTGGGTCAAGCAGGGGGGCCAGCAGCCTTCCAAACTGAGAGGCTCGGGGGCTGACAGCATTCCAGGCTGCAGGCCCCAGGTAGACTCTGACCCACGCATTTAATCTCTCTGAACAGGTGATCATTATTAACAAACAGGTGTTCAGTATTTTCCCATAACACAAAACACACCAATTAGGCAGCTGGTGCCCGCTCACCACTGATCAAACAACCTAAAAAGTATTCTTCATGAGGGAGCCACTGGGGCAGGGTCAGATAGCTTAAAGAATTGTTTTAACAGGTGTATGATATTTACATATTGTCCTGCCACTTTGGAATGCCCCAAGTGGTTTTCTACTGGGGTGGAGGGGGGGAGATGCTAGGTTTTGTTTGCCATTGTTCTTCCTAGCAAACAATATATTCTATCATACACTTAGCATTCATCAATATTCATAAATTTCACATTTCTCACCAGAATAAAAATGAATTCATTTCATTTAAATGTAACTCATTAGCAAAACCTCTATTTTGAATTCCTAGCCTTTGTAATCTATTTCTTGGTCTAATAATGACAGGCCAAGAGAATGCAGAAAAGAGAAATGTGCAACTATTTTGCTGGAATGGGGTGCTTATCCAGACCTTCCAGATATCTACGGCAACACTGCTCTACACTATGCTGTGCATAATGAAGACGAATCAGTAGCACAAAAACTGCTTTCATACAGTACAAACAAGGAGGCAAAAAATGAGGTATAGACCAACCAACTTTATTTTCAAACTGTTTGAAATACATTTGTTTTAACACTGACATATGTAACTATCAGTTTTCCATATTTATAAGCTCAAGCACTCCCTGAATGAGAATATTTTGAAATGATTATCTAATATTTGAAATCTTGATACTTTTAAAGCAGCATGAGAGGGCACAGCTTTCTTTTATGTACATATGGTAAATATTTTTGAAAACACTGAATTTGTAAAAGTTTTTTTTTTTTTTTTACAGAGTCTTGTTCTGTTCTTTTATTTTTTTTTTATTTTTTAGAGAGAAAAAGAGAAAAAGAAGGGGAAAAAAAGAAAAAGAGGGAAAAAGGAATATTACTTCATTCCTAAAATGGGTTTCAATAATGGCCGATCAATATTTTGAGTGTTTAAAGTGGTTAATGCATATTTTATGTGTTTAAAATGGAGACCTCTATTGTGTTTATTTGTTCTGGCTCTGAGTTCAAGTCCTGGATATCGTTATCAATTTGTTGTCTCGTTGAATCTAAATCTCATTATGTGTCTTATGTATCTGGGTGTTAAGATCTCTTATTGTTGCATTAATCCCTTTACCCTTGCATCCTTGTAGCTTTGAAATCTATTTTATTAAGTGTGAGAATTGCAACTCCTGCTTTTTATTTATTTATTTTTGCTCTCCATTTGGTTGGTGAGTTTTTTTCCATCCCCTTGTTTTGAGTCTTTATATATCTTCAGATATATCGTTAGATTTTGTGGATAATGTATATTTTGTGTGTTTAAAATGGAGAGCTCTATTGAGTTTATTTGTTCTGGATCTTAGTTCCAGTCCCGGGTATCGTTATCAATTTGTTGTCTCGTTGAATCTAAATCTCATTATGGGTCTTATGTATCTGGGTGTTAAGATCTCTTATTATTACATTATTCCTTTTACCCTTTTATCCTTGTAGCTTTGAAATCTATTTTGTCAAATGTGAAAATTGCAGCTCCTGCTTCTTATTTATTTATTTTTGCTCTCCATTTGGTTGGTACATTTTTGTTTTTTTTTTTTCCAACCCTTTATTTTGAGTCTATGTATATCTTTGGATATACCGTTAGATTTTGTCTGTATCTTTTGATTGGGAGATTTGGTCGATTTAAATTTAGGGTTGTTGCCATTTGTTATTAACTGGCTATTTTGTCCTTTCGTTGATAAAAATTCTTCTTTATGTTAATGCTCTTTACTTTTTGGTGTATTTTTAGAAAGGGTCATACTGGTTGTTCCTTTCTGTGTATAATGCTTCTTTTAGAAGTTCTTGTAAAGCAGGCCTAGTGGTAATAAAATCTCTGAGTACTTGCTTGTTCCTAAAAGATTTTATTTTTCCTTCAAATGTAAAGCTTAAATTGGCAGGATATGAAATTCTGGGCCGAAAGTTCTGTTGATTAAGTATATTGAATATTGGCCCCCACTCTCTTCTAGCTTGTAGGGTTTCCGTTGAGAGATCTGCTGTAAGCCTAATAGGCTTACCTTTATGGGTGACTTGATCTTTCTCTCTGGCTGCCCTTAATATTTTCTCCTTCGTTTCGATCTTGGTGCATCTAATGATTATGTGCCTTGGGGTTGGTCTTCTTGAGGAATATCTTTGTGGTGTTCTCTGTATTGCCTGGGGTTGAATAGTGTCCTGCTTTGCTAAATTAGGAAAATTTTCCTGGATAATGTCCTGGAGAGTATTTTCCAGCTTGACTTCATTCTCTCCGTCACATTCAGGTACACCAATCAAGCGTATATTAGGTCTTTTCACATAGTCCCATATTGCTTGGAGACTTTGCTCATTCCTTTTTATCCTTTTTTCTCTATTCTTGTCTTGTCGTTTTGTTTCATTAAGTTGGTCTTCTACCTCTGATACCCTTTCTTCTGCTTGATCCATTCGGCTGTTTAAGCTTGTACATATTTCACTAAGTTCTCGTGTTGTATTTTTCAACTCCATAAGTTCATTTGTATTCCTCTGTATATTGTCTATTCTTTTCAACATTTCATCTAACCTTTTTTCCAAGTTCTTAGTTTCTTTACATTGGGTTAGAACAAGTTCCTTTAACTCCCAGAAGTTTCTTATCATCCACCTTTTAAAGCCTACTTCAGATAATGGAACACAGTCCTTTTCCATCAGGGCTTGTTCGGTTGCTGATGAGTCCTTTTCCATCAGGGCTTGTTCCATTGCTGATGGGTTCTGATTTTGAGTATACTCGGCCTTCTTAGGCTGTTTTTTTCCCTTCATTGTAGATGAACCGCCTTTCTAATTAGTTTTCTGAGTCGACGTCCGACTTATTGATTCCCAGTGCTGGGATCCGAGCAACCCACTGTGGCAGCCTAAATAGCAGCGATAAGACTGATGGTCCTCTTCTGCCCGGGAGTCTCTGGTCTGGCTTCCCTCTTGAGTCCGCAACAAGCGGCTCTGACTTCCTGGAGCTCCAAACTCCGGTCGGTAGGGGAAGCAGTCCCGTTGGCTCTGCATGAAGAGCTGCTGCGCCGAGACGCCAGCAAAACCGCTGTGGCGGCCACAAGAGTCGCACTGGCGACCCGTGGGGCTCCTCCACTGGGAATCGGCTGATCGGTGAGTGATGAAAATTCATCTAATGATGTGGCGTCGTCTCGTTCTCTGAGCTTTCACTGGGAGCTACAATCCTGAGCTGTTAGTGGTCGGCCATCTTCATTTGTAAAAGTTAATACTTAAATTTTTTTTCTTCCCTATTTTTTTTTCTAATCTGTGGAAAGCAAAATTTGCCCTGGAAATAGACTTTATCTTAAAACATTTTTCAGTAAATACAAATCTTGCTGCTATTGACAGATTCTTAAAAAAAAAAAAAAAAAAAAAACATTCAAGCAGTTTAGCTCTCAGTGGCAAAGCTTAGGAGGGTAAAATGGAAAGGGCGAAAAAAGCAGCCAGAAATATGGAGGCCGGCTTGGAGGTTAGGTAATTGAGGGAAAATACCAAGGCGACCTTTTTTTTAAAATGTGTTTTGTTGTTGTTATTACTATTTCTTTTTTCTAGTTTATATGTTTAGACAAGGTTTTCTTCAGTTTGAGGGATAATCAGATCATCGTTTTCTGTTTGGAAGAGAGTGAGTTGTGAACTTGCCTAGGAATCCAATTTAGGAGGACTCTGAGGAAACAAGATTAGCTGCGACTAGGTGGTGATGAGTAGGAAACAGCCACTTAGATAAGCGTCTGCGCTCAGCCCTCAAATCTAGAATGCCCTGACGGGAAGGTGGGCGAGGTGGAGTTTAGAAATAGCAAAATCAAGTTGGATTTTGAGTTTACCAGTCCCTGTGCTACTCCTACCCAGGAAAACTAAATGGAGTTTTTAGCAAATGACTGTCTCTTATTTTTTCCTCTTTTTGACAAAATCCTCAAACGATAAAGGGAACTGGTCATGTGGGTGAGAGATGAGACTGAAGTAATTGTTGTTCTAGTTCTCAGCTAGAGTTGTGCATCACAGCAACCGAGGAAATGAAAACAAATCTACAAGTCTAAGCTCTTCCCTGAATACTTTTGATATAATAAGTCTAATAAAGCCTGAACAAGTTTATGTTTTAAAATATTTCCTTGAAGCCAGGTGTAGTGGTACTTGGCTGAAGTCCCTGCTAGTCGGGAGACTGAATTGGGAGGATTGCTTGAGCCCCAGAGTTTGAGTCTAGCCTGGGCAACATAGTGAGACCCTGTCTCTAACAACAGCAGTAAATTCCTAAAACTTCAGATACAGTCCTGGTTAAGAGCCAGTGAATAGGTAGGTGTAATATGTAAATGCCCATTCTCAGAAACGTAAGAAATCTCTAGAGGAGTTGGAGTTTGATAGGTGCTACTTCCTTTAATTCTGTCACTTTTCAATACTGTTATCCTGACTTTTATCTTTCTTTACCTCTGGGTTGGGAAGTTAAAAGGAATGTTATTGGTAATATCTCTCAGCTTCCAGAATACCTTTTGTTCCCAACCTCATAGCCCTTCAGTAAGCAGAGGCTGACTGCTTTAGGATTTTTTGTCTTTGTTATCATCCAGGTGATTATTGTTTATTACAAGCAGCTTAATCTTTATTACAAGCAGAGTTTTCTCAATTAGAGCTGGCAAACATTTAGCCTTTTTTTTTTTTTATTAATTGAAGCTCTGTTATGGACTATCTCAGTATCTCTGTTAAGTTCACAGAGTTTGAAATAATCAAGATGGCAGTTTTAAGCACTGAAAACCCTGAAATTAGTAAGAGTACAAATATTGATTCTTTTAACAATTTAGTTTCGGCAGTCATGTGGACTAATTATCCATTTGGTTAACAAGCTGGGAAAAATAAATACAAATAGATTTTAATTGAATACGTATTGGAAAAATGCTTGAAGTGTGAGTGTTTTGAGCCTGTGAGCATTTTTTTTTTTATTCTGAAGAAACAGGGTCTCACTGCGTTGCTCAGGCTGGTCTCAGACTCCTGGGCTCATGTGATCCTCTTGCCTTGGCCTCCCAGAGTGCTGGACTTGCAGGTGTGAGCAGCTGTGAGTTTTAATAGCAATTTTTATTACATTTTGGGGCCTGATTTGTTTTGATAAAACATCTGAAATTAAAGGAAATATTTTACATGTAAATGCTTTACACACAACCATTTTGAAACACATCTATAACAAGTATAAAAACACAAGGGCTGTAGTCAAAATGTGGCCCACAGATATGTTTAATTTGCCTCCACAAATTGTGTCAATGTGTAAAATTTAGGAGACTCATGCACAAATCTGGATTTCAGGCTTCTCTTTAAGAATCAAGCCTGTTGTCCCTTGAGCCCATGTCACTGTTCGGGGTGCTGCAACTAGGTTGCCCCTTCGTAGGAAGTATATGTTCTCTGGTTTGCTGCTGCGCCCACCTAGGTACTTCACTCAGGTCACTTCCTTTGCCTGGGTAAGATTTGAGTTTACAGCTCCTGTCATGGCATATTTTGAAAAGATTTGAAGTTTTTCAAAACACTTTATATTTGTTTATAACATATAGTCTATATTTTATA